CTTTTCTTCCATTACTAGTCTCAGCCTTACTTTATTCTGCCCTTTGGGGTGCAGTGTTCAGAAGTGAATAAGCTCCTGTGGAAGTTGCCCTCTCTACTTTGGATTCTTCTGTAAATGAGTTCGGTGGCAGGCTCAGTGGTTGTTGTTGTTGTTGTTGTTGTTGTTTTTGGCATCATGCTTTGCTGACTCAATAACCTTGCCATCGACTAGGACTGCTTCATAGGAACTACTTTGAAGCTACATTTCATCCATTGTGTATATAATTGCTTGACCTGAAGTGTAGAATTTGCAGTTATTTTTAAATTTTCATTTGTTTGTTCTCAAGTTCAAGGCTGCGATAAGCCGTCACTCAGTATATAAACAATTTCTACCATCTGGCAGAGGAATCTTTGGTAAGAATTTTGACCAGTGTGGGGTCAAGTTCAGCGCTGTGTGACACACCTCTGGCCCTTCCTTCCTTGTATGTAAGTTAGTATAGGTTGCCAGGTTCAACCACTGATTATTTGATCTTATTGTTCTATATTTCATGACTGTTTCTCTGTTTTCCATGACACTCACTTGTTTTTGGTACCAGGGATTGAACTCTGGACTTTGCACTTGCGAGGCAGGCAGTGGAACCACTGAGCTAAATCCCCGGCCCCCGTGACACTGGCTTGTGAAATAGTTAAGTGTAGAAGAAATTGTACATTTTCTCACAAAGATTTTGAATATGCTGTTTGCTAAAAAGCGACTCATTGCAAAATCGTGACGACTGTGCCTATCTTCAGATTTTAAAGTTTATGAAAACATTCCTATACCATCTATTCTTAGGTTTACAAATATGTATTCCGTGTTTTTCCAAACTTGAGGATGGGGAAGGGAATCAGGGTTATAAGGGAGAAAAATTCCTTACTTGCAGAAATAGCAAAATAATAGGAAAAAATAAAAAAATGAGATACTAAGTTGATTGTCTAGTTATTTGGATTAAAGAACCCAGAAGGTAATGTGGAAGTAACCTTGGAGAAAAACACTGGCTCCACTTGACAAATTAAGAAATGAAAGAAAAGAAGAAATAATCGGGTTAGTATTGAACAATTCTTATAGAACTCTTCTAGTATAACGATGGCCAAGTACCAATCAGCAGTATCTTTTGAAAGCTTACTGTATGTCAGGCCCATTACAGGTATTCCCTCGCATTCTGTGAAGAGGCAGGTGTAGTGGCACACACCTGTAATCTCAGCACTTAGAAGGCTGAGGCAGGAGGATCACTGAGAGTTGAAAGCCAGCCTGGGCTACAGAGTGAGACCCTTGTCTCAAACAAAACAAAACAAAAAATTCTGTGAAGGCAGGTACAGCTGACACCTTCTTAAAGATGGCCTAAATAAAATTGAATTTAAGTAACTTAGGCAAGCTATAGAGCTAGAGCAAGATTTGAATCCACAAACTCCATTTGGGGAGCACAAAGTGTTAAGTGTTATGCTGTAAAAATGTTAGCCCACATACCATTTGAAGTGTGCACACAGCTGGTAGGTCCTGTCTTTTGGGGTTGAAGGGGATGTCTTTGAATCCATGTGGGTTGCAGTTACGGGGTCATAGCTGGAGGCAAGGGACTGACACCTGCAGCCGCGCAGTTTACCATTTCTCTCTCTCTTTTTTTTTTTTTTGTTTTTGTTTTTGTTTTTTGTTTTTTGTTTTTTGAGACAGAGTCTGCCTATATAGTTGAGACTGACCTGGAATTCACTGTGTAGCCCAGGCTGGTCTCAAACTCACAGCGAACCTCCTGCCTCTGCCTCCTGAGTGCTGGGATTACAGGCGTGTTCCCCCACGCCCAGCTTCACTTTAAACCTTGTTGCTAGTTAAGCTGTCCTTTTTTCCTCTCATACACAAGTTACACCTTTGCTGCCTTTTTTAAGCAATTTACATGGAAAAATACTGTTTATTTTACAGTAAAATAAAACTTCATTTTTTTTGTCATTGTCCTTAAAAATATAATCTTACATGAACAATTTGTGTGTTAAGTCCCTACTTTGATTTTTGTCACCTTTGCTATTGTATCTCTTGTGCTTTTGAGTGGTCTTCAGCATTTCAGTTATTTATGTGAGATATGGCTCTCGTTAACATAGGCTTTCCCCAGAAAGTGTATGAAGCTTTTCAGGAAAGGACCATGTTGTTCTCTAGACACCGGACACCTGGGACACAATTGTAAGTTTAGTGTCAGTTAGATAATGCCTTTTCATCCTGTGAGGTGAGTGCTGCATAACCCACTTTTTTTCTTTTACTGAGTTTATTGGTACATTTTAGGTATACAATATGAGGGCATTCATCATTGGGAATTTGTACTTTTACATGCTAATATCTTATGCATAACTCATAAGATGAGAAAACTAAAAATTTTCAGTAGGAAAAATGTGTTAAACCACAGAGCACAAAATAAAGTTGTGACTTGATGTCAAGCATTTTTTGTAGAGGAGTGTGTTAGCTTGGAAAAAGGACAAAAAAAACAAAACAAAAAAAAAACCACAGTATGTACGGGAACAGTGCTTCCCAGCAAGTACAAAGTGAATATTGACTTCTGGCTTGTCTGAAGTTGACCACCGGGTAAGCCCTAGCCTGGGAATCTGGCCTAGTGCCAGAGTCCCTTTAAGCTAAAAATAGAGAAGATTCTGCTTTACTTAATTTTAGTTTAAGGCCTCCAAAAAGTACATTTTGCCTGTTTTTGAGGTGAGGTGTTGGGACTTGCTGATTTGGGGATTGTACCTTTTTTGCTTTATCATCAGAAAGTGTTTGCAGCTGGGCATGGTGGCAAATGCCTGTAATCCCAGCACTTGGGAGGCTGAGGCAGGAGGATTCCTGTGAGTTCAAGGCCAGCCTGAGCTACATAGTGTGACCCTTTCTCAGAACAAACTCACCAGTGAGGAACATAACTGTGTTGTAATAATAACCCCCCCAAAAAAAACCCCAAAACTTTTCAAAGTACATTTCTTTTATTTAAAAAAATTTTTTTTGAGGCAAAGTCTTGCTATGCAGTTCAGACTGGGCTTGAACTCATTATGTAGCCCAGGCTAGTCTGGAACTGGCAGTGATCACCCTTAATTAATCTTACAATTTTGGAGGATATGCCCATTTTTATGTACGGTGACTCAAGTTTAGAAAGATTGAAAGTGATTTACTAGCCCAGGTCTTCTCAGAAAGAAATGATAATCTGTATCTGGGTTGAACAGCCTTGACTTTGAATTCTGGCCCCGTTGTGTGGTTGTTTTGTCTATTAACCTGTGTGAGCTCTGAGTCCCTCATCTATGAAACGGGCTAATGGAAGTCATTTTGCTGCTTCTTGTGAGGGTGAAGTGTGATGTGGAATTGTTTAATTTTATGGTTGGTTTCCAGTAGGGATGTGATGACTTGTAACGTCACTTCCTTTAGTTGAGGAACTACTTTGTGTATTCCTTACTTTCTAGGAAATTAAAATTTAACCCATTTGGACTGCTGAGATTGGTAGGCACATTGACAGATTGGTGTTTAGGATCAAGAAGAGATGCCAAAACAGAAACAATCAAAACCACTGTTGAATGTCTTGGTGGTATAAGATGCAGCAACTTCCAGATGAATCATCTTTGATTCTGTGCTTTAACTCTCTAAAGAGGATTTGGAGCTTAACTGGATTGATAATAGCCGGCACTTTTTTCTGGGTTTGTTTTGGGAACTTTGGCAAAGGAACTTGTGTTTTTGGTACCTAATTTAAATACTTCCACTCTTATTTAGTGTTTTTAAACAGTTCTTAAACCATCTGCATAGCTCTTGATTCCTAAAAGTTGATTTCAGAGCAGAAATGGTCAGAAGACCTTGTTACATAAAAGACTGACTCAAATTGCTGATCCTGTGAGGAAATCTGGTATACTTCTGAGGTGTTAGGTAATGGATTTAGTGCCCAAGGCACTTCTACAAAAAAGACAGATAGCTGTGAGACATTCCTTTGGGAGTTTATGGAGGACTAGGAGTTATTTTTCTTTGTATCCTATTCTGAGGGACAGGTATAAAAAAATGTAACTTTTCCAGCAGCTGAAATTTCTCATGTGAACATCAAGATTTCTAGAGCTTTGTAAAGACAGATGACTAAGTGGTTTTACCCAATAACATCACTTTTGAGAGTTTTCTTTTTCACAGGAATTAAAGGTATTTGGACAGTTGTGTCAAGTAAATATTACCCTTTACAACTATGGGCGAATGTGTGTTTGAATTCACTGACTATCCATTTTTAAACCTCCTTATATAGTGAGCCTGCTAAAAACATGTTTCTGGGTATACCTTCTTATCTGGACAGGGCCTCGGGAACATGGATTTTAGACATACACCAAGTAGTTTTAGTGGTACTGTATATATTTTATATAGTTTCTCTTGAGCTCAAAGCTAGATGAACTCAAAGCTGGGTAGCTTTTTCTCCTATGTTTAGGTTATTAGGAGGTTTTAGTTTTGTTTGTTTGTTTGGTTTTTTGAGACAGGGTCTCACTATGTAGTTGTGACTGTCTTGGAACTCACAGTGATCCTACTACCTTAGCCTCCTGAGTGCTGGGATTACAGGCATGCACCACTCTGCCAGGCAGCTTTTAGATTTTAAAATAAGTAGTAGATAAAAGAACTGACCTTGGTCATTTCACCCCAGATGAAGTAGTTGGCTTGTGGCAGTGTTCCCCAAACTTTAGTGTGTATCAGAGTCACCAAGAAGACTTATAGAACATATCCTAGTCTGTTTCTAAAGCCAGCAAACTTTGTTATCAATTCATTAAATTAGTATTTTCAGATTTGTAAAAAAATGTAAAAAACCCACATATATTATCTTGCGTCTAATTTTCTGATTTCCTCTGATTTCTAGGAGGTGTGATTGCCTATATCAGTTCTTCCAGCTCAGCCTCTAGCCCTGCCTCTTGCCACAGTGAGGGTTCTGAGAACAGTTTCCAGTCCTCCTCCTCCTCTGTTCCATCTTCTCCAAATAGCTCTAATTCTGACGTCAATGGTAATCACAAGAATGGTGACCTCTCCAATATAGAAGGCGTCCTGAAGAATGATCGATTGGATTGTTCTGTGAAGACAAGCAAGTCAAGTGCTCCTGGGATGACAAAGAGTCATAGTGGTGTGACAAGTAAGTTACCTTAGTAATTCAAAGATCACTGCAATTTGTTGCCGATTGAGTTTATTTTACCACTTTTGATTTGGGAGACCAATATAGTTCTGGCTATAATTTTCACTCCCTTCTGGATAATCACAGATCAGTATTTAGGAAGAAATCAACAGTGACTTTAAAGGTTAGAGCCTAGGATCTGGCATGTGTATTTATGTTCTCTGACCGTGTTTCTCCCAGGGTGCTCTTTTTTACATTATTCACAGTTACCTTTCTTCTGGATTCCTAGTACTGAATCTTGTTTCTAGACCAGAGTATTAGCTTGTGGGAAAGAATTTCTTCTGATGACACTGGAGTTGGGAACTTTTGGGATTAGGAAACGAAGCAGGATTGGGATGACCAGCGGATGTCTAGTGGGATTGGACTCCTGAGTGAGTTATGGAGAAAACAAAGACTGAGAAGAGAGGGTCAAGAAAGACTGGAACCTGTTTAGCTCCTGTGGGTGAACTGAATAAGTACAGTTGCTTGTGGAGACATTTCTTTGCCTTGTTTATTGATTGATTTCCCTCATATCTCTGCCTTGTTTATTTATCAGTTTCTCTGCTTGGATTGTAATTTTTATCAAAGAGAATTGTTTCTTAGTTCTGGTTGCATATCTGGTATAAAGCAACTACAAATTTACAGAATTGCAGTGTATGTTTAAAAATCACTAAGAAAAGGGAAAAAAACCAACTCTCTGAGGTAATTTTGCAGTTCCATAAGCTATTTTAATAAAATAACTTTTTCCGGGCGTGGTGGTGCACACCTGTAATCCCAGCACTCGGGAGGCTGAGGCAGGAGGATCACTGTGAGTTCGAGACCAGCCTGGGCTACATAGTGAGTTCCAGGTCAGTCTCAACTACTTAGCGAGACCCTGTCTCAAAAAACCAAAAAAACAAACAAGCAAACAAAAAACCAAAAAACCAAAAAAACCCCAAAGAAAGCGCTTAGAAGCTGAATGAAACTAATGTCAGTTGGAAAGAAAAACATTTGAAGTGTTTCTTCCAGCTTTTCACCTTGTGTCTGTTTGTGCTCTAGAATTTAGTGGCATGGTCCTACTGTGTAAAGTCTGTGGGGATGTGGCGTCAGGATTCCACTATGGAGTTCATGCTTGTGAAGGCTGTAAGGTAAAGCATGTTTTTTTTCCCCTTAAAAATTTTGATAACTGGTATTATTAAAATTGGGAACAGTTCTATAAATTTCCACAGTTGATATCTAGGAGGGAGAGACAAGTCAGACATTCTGGTTTTAAGCATTTAATGAAGTATATAAAATAACTTCTTCAGGGGTGTTGAGGATTGAAGCCAAGGCTTTATACATGATAGGCAAGTACTCTTCCACTGAGCTGTTTCCTTAGCCTATTTTTTTGTTTTTTTTGGTACTGGGGATTGAACTCCGGATCTTGTGCTTGCAAGGCAGACAGGCAGTATCCTTAGCTTTTTTATTTTGAGACACAGTCTTGCTAAGCTTGCCAGGCTTGCCTAGAACTTGAGATCCTCCTGCCTTAGTCTCCCGAGTAGCTGGGATAATTCAAACAAGATAGTCTGCATCTTCCTACTTATAACAGAATCAGTCAGCAGTCAGTATCTCCTCTTCGCTCACATATGGTATAATCCTTTTTTCTGTTATCAAAATTTAATATGCCAGAGACACATGTTCTTGCTGTTTTCTGACTTAAAGCTAGAAACAAGAACCTACTTTGGCTAGGGATGGGGATTTTACTCGTTGGCACTTTGCCTGCGTGCAAGGTCCTGAGTTTGATCCCTGGACACACACAAAGGTTCGGCATAGTAGTGGGTGAACGGTATTTTCCATAGATAGGGCTTTTTCCTACTGTTATTTATTTTTGGGGGTGGTTTGAGACAAGGTCTTACTACCTAGTTCAGGTTTGGCCTTGAATTCACTATGTAGCCCAGGTTGGCCTTGAACTTGCAGTGATCCTCCTGCCTCAGCCTCCTGTGTGCTGGGATTACAGGCCTGTACCACCATACCCGGCTGGCTTTTACTGTTTTAAAAATTGTATAAATATTGCCTTTAAAAAAAAAAACCAGAAACAGGTGTGGGGGTTTGGCTCAGTGGTTCTGTCACCTGCCTCACAAGTGCAAGGGCCCTAGTTTGATCCCTAGTACCAGGAAAAAAAAAAACCCCAAACCCCCCAAAATGTGAAGTAGGCAGTGGTGAGGTAGGCTTCATGCTCACATTATAGCTAACAAAAGTACATGCTGAATGAGATGAACTGTATGTTCTTTTTTTTTCTTTTTCTTTTTCTTAATGGGGGTTGAATTCAGGACCTTGTGCTTGCCAGGCAGGCCCTGTGTCATTGAGCTACATCCCAAGCCCCTAAATTGTGTATTTTTTCTTTATTTTTTTCAAACATCCCAATATCACCAAAATGGCTTTTTGTCACTGACACATACATGACACTTCAATTTTGTTATTTTGTTTGTTTTCTCAAGTATTACTTAAGTGTGCATTAAAAATACTTGTTTACAAAAAAAATACATGTTTGCATTTAAGAAATGTGATACATGATAGTCTTATCTATAAACATAAGCCTTTTTTCAATATATTTCCTACTTTGTTTCATAAATAAATCTACAAAATCATAAATAAAACCATCAACTTTTGCCAGGCGTGGTGGGTGGTGCACGCCTGTAATCCTAGCACTCGGGAGCCTGAGGCAGGAGGATCACTGTGAGTTCGAGACCAGCCTGAGGTACATAGTGAGTTCCAGGTCAGTCTCACTACATAGTGAGACCCTGTCTCAAAAAAAACAAAACAAAACAAAAAAACAAGCCATCAACTCTTAAGGCCCAAAAATACACACAAAATTTAGAGTTTGAGGAAAGTGTTTTCTTGGATTTTATAAATAATAGCCAGTATTTGCCATGTTTATTATCAGTCACATGCTTATCACAAGTTTTGTCTTTTAATTTATTCTGCAGAAAGACTTTGTAGTTTAACTGGTAAAGGTGCCATACATTTGAAAAATCGAAATAATCAAAAGCCAACATTTTTTTTAAATGTCAGAGAAGCTGCTTATTTAAATATTGCTAACTTTTATTGAAATCTTTCAGGTATCCGAACAAAAATGCTACTGAAAAGTGAAAAGGGAAATGGCATCTAACAAAACTTAGTATTTAAGAAACAGTAAAGTCTGATTAAATCCTTACTAACTTTGCAAAATTTCACTGAGATTTTGTTACAGGAACAAAACCAATTCTATCCTAAATTTTCTAAAATTTATTCTTGAATTATCTCTTTGATGAATTAAAACTTCAAGGGTAAGAATGAAGACAAATAAGGATTTTAGAAAACCATACTTGTAATTTCTGATTCACATTTAGTTTTTGTTTAATGACTACAAATCCTTATTTCTTTATAAAATATAATATTTGTTTAAACATACCGTGTACTGATTTATTAAATAACCACCCATGATTATTAGGTAAGCATTCCAATTACTTTTATGTAATAAAAGTAAAAAGGAATTTTGCATGTTGGCTACATTTCATTTTATAAATTATTTTGTAGGTGTTTATAGGATATAAAACTTAGAAAAAATTCTTAATATTCCTATTAGATTTAAATGATTTAAACTAAAAATAATACATTAAGCACTTTTAAAAATTTTAGTTTCTAGAAGTTTTTTTGTTTGTTTGTTTGTTTTTTGAGACAGTGTCTCACTATGTAGTTGAGACTGACCTGGATCTCACTATGTAGCCAGGCTGGTCTCGAACTCACAGCTATCCTCCTGCCTCAGCTTCCCGAGTACTGGGATTACAGGCATGCACCACCACGTCCAGCCTCTAGAAGTTTTTTTATTCAATACAAAAATGATTGACTCACACACAGTATTAACTGCCCAAAACTCTTCAAAAACTAAATGTTCTTTGTTAAAGAGCAGATTACAAGAAATGTTCTCTACGCTCTTTATTTTAAAAATGAGATTCTGGTAAACATAAGAAATCTAAATCAGAATTCACAAATGGTGGCTAAAATCTTGTCAATCTTCAGCCTAGTCAACATAAATCCAGTTATGCATAAATAATTCAAAATTAGTTTATAATGGAAATGTCAGTCGTAACTGCTGTACGGGGTTCCACTGTACTTCTGCCAGACTGCTTAGAAAATTACAGCTGTCGGAGCTATAAATAAGGAATACATAACTATGAGCACAGCAATGCCAAACATTAGGGCCATTTAGAAAATGAGTAAGATGTGATGTAAACACATGTGATAGTTCTCTCTGTAAGCCTCTCTCTATTGATTATAGAGTTACGGTTTTGTAATTCTTTTTAAAAGGAAATTTTTTTCTATATTGCTGCATGCAGTAATTTTACTGTATATTCTTTACTATAATGCAGTCTTCAAATCCTCTTGCAGAGCTTAACATATCTCATCAAGATTTCTCCAGAAAGTCAGCTTGTCGTATTTTCAGCAGCCTTCAGTGCTTCAGTAGCCTTGTGAAACTCCTTAATGACGGATGATAAAGCTTCTGGGTTAATGCCTTACTCACAAAGGCGTACACAAATAAGAGTTTCCATACCTAAGCCAGTATTCAAAATTTTTGAAACCTCAAGCAGAACATCCATGATCTCCCTCTGTATTGAGGTTTGCCGCTGCCAGCCCCGCTGCCACCATGGCACTTGCTGAGGGAGGCGGGAGCCCGGCCTGATCCGGAACTGGAGTGCCTTTCTTTCTCGGGCAATGCAGCTGCGTGTGCTGGCTCACAGTGCCAGGCTCCAGCCCTCGTACTCTGTGTATTCTTGATAAATACACATATGTACCTGTTCAGTACTTAAAAATACATTTGGTTTTGCTCCTGCAGTGTCCAAGTCAAGTGTATAGTATCATAGTAATGAATCATAAAAATGCTATATCCTACAACTGCTTAATAAAGATTTATGAAATGTTTAGCCAGTTACAATATTCAAGGAAAAGGCAGCTTAAAATAAATTTGGTGATTATGTTCCTTTTTTTTTCTTTTTGATACCAGGAATTGAACTCAGCACTTTTTGTGTGCCAAGCAGGTATATTGACACTGAGCTAAATCCACGGCCCTGATTATGTTATTTTGTTCACCCTGGAACCAGTAAGCTGGAACTCTGTGAGGACAGAGTGTAGTCCAGTAGTAAAGGCCACCGTTGGTAGCCTTCTGGCTGGGAACTTCTTTCCCTCATCATTGGCTGGGGTCTGTGGGTGTGTGCTTAACAGCTATTAGTGACACATAGCTAGGAACACCTAATGTGCAGGAGAGGCCTTGCCAGTGCCAGCAGGTGATGACCCAGGAAAGACCAGCCTCTATCAATGCAGTTTAGGGCCCTAGTAAGGGAATTCTAGCTATCAGATACATTTTTCTGTCAGCTTTTTAGGGATTAGCCATTCATTTGTCAATAGTTCTAGAATTTATGTGTGATTACAAGTATGAGCTGAAAAATGTGGCTGCAGGTAAGGTCTGGTAAGAGGGGCCGTATAGTGTGGGAGGTGCTTTGGGCAAGAACAAAGAGTTTTAAAAGTGAAGAAGGATTTTTTTGGCAAATATATGTTGCACCTGTTTGTCAATACTAGTAAGAATTCAATTAAATTCTGTGTGTCAGTGTTGTATTTCTCTGTCCTAAGCTAAAATTATTTCCCAGGTACCTAGTCATTACTAGATAAGCAAGGGAACAGTGCTTATAAGGAATTCATCTGGATGTTTTCAAATGAATGAGTAAATCTTTTGTCCTTAGGGTTTCTTTCGGAGAAGTATTCAGCAAAACATCCAGTACAAGAAGTGCCTGAAGAACGAAAACTGTTCCATAATGAGGATGAATCGGAACAGGTGTCAGCAGTGTCGATTCAAAAAGTGTCTGTCTGTCGGGATGTCAAGAGATGGTATGTTCCCAGTGCGAGCAGTGTTGGAGAGTGTGTGGAGCTTGGCGTGTGTTCCTCAGCACACTAGAGTTATAAGCCAGTTGCTGGTGGCCCTCTCGTCTTTAGGATGAAACAGACTCCAGAAAGCACATTTTGATGCTTTGTAAGACATTTAATTGATTAGTCAAATTTTGTATTACCAACTCAGAAACAGCTTTTGGCTCAACTTATTTTCCCCTGCCTGTAAAAACGTTTTTTTAGCTGGGTCTGGTGACACATGCCTGTAATCCCGGTACTTGGTAGGCTGAGGCAAGAGGATCACCATTGAGTGAGCCAGCCTGAACTACATAGCAAATTCTTTTCTCAAACAAAAGCAAGAAAACTCATTTATCTCCTTTGCGACTTGACAGCTTTGAATACATTTTTTTCTAAAAAAAGATTGCTTTCCTTTTTTCTTGCTTTTTTTTTTTTTTTTTGTACTCAGGATTGAACTCAGGTCCTTGTGCTTCTGAGGCAGGCATCAGTACCACTAAGCTAAATCCCCAGCCATTGCTTTTCTTTATATAGGAATTTTGACTCAGTCTTTTTGACTTATTATTATTAACTGAAGAATCCATTTTTTTGGGGGGGTAGTGGGGATTGAACTGGGGACCTTGAGCTTGCAAAGCAGGTGGTGGAATCACTGAGTTAGTAAATCCCTGGCCCAAGAACCCATTTCTTATATGAATTGTCTGTCAATCACTCTTTTAGCTCAAGATGATGTACTTTTGGGGCTCAGATTCTGAACACATGCAAAGCCAGTGCAAACTTAAAGTCTGAAGTGAAGGTGGCTGTCTTAGTTCTGGCATAATCTGTTCTTATGGAAAAGAAGAGTTGTGCTAATTGTGGAGCTATAAGTATTATTGGTGGATAAACTGGAAGATTTGACACTTGCATTTAAGAAGATAATTTCTTGATAGTCTAAGATAGGTAGTAAGATAAGAGAGATAGGTTTTCAGAGGTATTAGTTAAGTAGAATTTGGTTAACTTATTTATCTAGGGAAGGGTTATTTAAATATTCCTTTTGGTTACTCTAATATCCTACTGATACAGAAGTAGAATATTATATAATAAGGAGTTTTTGAATAGGAGATTTCAAGAATTTAATCTTTCCTTTTTTTTGGTACTGGGTATCGAATTCAGGACCTTGTGCTTGTGAGGCAGGTGGTGGAACCACTGAGCTAAATTTGCAGTGCAGTGCTTTCTTTTAATTACCTGAAATTTTTATTTTGTAGCACTAGTGAACTAATGTTCTAATGATAGTGGGTGGATATTGGGATTGCTTCCCTCAAAATAAAACTGACATTCACTTGTAAAAGAAGGAACTAGAAGTAAAGTATGAAACATGACAATATTGTCTTTGACAGTGATATTGTTAGAGGCTCTAGTTGGTAAGGCTTTCTTGCTGGGCACTTATATTGAATTTTTATTATCATGTGTAATGACTAGAAAGTAGCTTTTCTTCTCTTTCCCCCAGGGGTAGGATTATTGGACACAGTATATATTCTGAGACTAGCTTCTAAAAAAAATGGAGGATGGCTGATCTAATTTTTATTTATTTTATTTTAATTAAAATCTAGCAGGGCCAGGGATTTAGCTCAGTGGTTCCAGCACCTGCCTCGTAAGCACAAGGACCTGAGTTCGATCCCCGGTACCAAAAAAAGGAAAAAAAAAAAAAATCCAGCAAATTACTTTCCAATAACTGCAGTTCTGTTGATTGTGTGTATGTCTGTATTTAAAGAGATTTATTTTTCTCTTAAGCCAGAAAAGAAGAGAGCAGGAAATTTAGTAGGGTTTGATAGGAAGGTTAGAAAAATGAATTGACCTTTTTTTGGATTTTTTCAGATAGTCTCACTTACATAGTTCATGCTGGCCTTGAACTCACTATGTAGCCCAGGCTGGCCTTGAACTTACAGTGATCTTCCTGCCTCAGCCTCCTGAGTGTAGGGATCACAGGTGTGTGCCACCACCTCTGGTACTTAGCTCTGTTAATAAAGTGATGTACAGTAATTATAGTAATGCTGGTCTGCTTCAAACTGTGGTATTTCATTTGTTACATTCATATTTCTTTTTCAGATTTTGCTTATAAAATACCCAGGAAATAAATGTTCTCTTTACTTTTTCTTTTTCTTTTTTTTTTTTTTTTGTTATTTTTGATACTAGGATCGAACTTGGGTCCTTGCGCTTATAAAGCAGGTGGCAGAACCACTGAGCCAGATCGCCGGTCCTCCTTTGGTATATTAAGACCAGCAAATTTAGAAAAATTTGAGCCAGAGATATACAGACATTCTTTTACTTGTTTGACTAGCGGCCATAGGTATCAAAGATAGTTTTGTTTTTCTTCTGTTTGTTTTGGTACCTGCAATTGAACTCAGAACCTTGTGCTTGCAAGGCAGGTGTGGTACCACTGAGCTAAATCCCTGACCCTTAGTTTTGTTATTCTTTTGTACAGACATATCTTATTTATTTATTTATTTTTTCATTAAGTTTATTGGTACATTTTTATTTTTTATATTTCTTATTATAATATTTTTTTCAGACATATCTTATTTAGAATGTAGACACTAAATAACTTTTTTCTTCAATAGCTGTTCGATTTGGTCGTATTCCTAAGCGTGAGAAACAGAGGATGCTAATTGAAATGCAAAGTGCAATGAAGACCATGATGAACAGCCAGTTCAGCAGTCACTTGCAGAATGATACATTAATCGAACATCATGAGCAGACAGCCTTACCTGCCCAAGAACAGCTTCGACCCAAGTCCCAGCTGGAGCCAGAAAACATCAAAAGCTCGCCTTCTTCCTCTTCCGATTTTGCAAAGGAAGAAGTGATTGGCATGGTGACCAGAGCGCACAAGGATACTTTTATGTATAATCAAGAGCAGCGAGAAAACTCAGCCCAGAGCAGGCAGCCCCAGAGGGGAGAACGGATTCCCAAGAACATGGAGCAGTATAATTTAAATCATGACCATTGTGGCAATGGGCTGAACAGCCATTTTCCTTGTGAGAGCCAGCAACATCTCATTGTCACTGGACAGTACAAAGGGAGGAACATAATGCATTACCCCAATGGGCATGCCTTTTGTATGGCAAATGGACATTGTATGGACTTCTCCAATGCTTATACTCAAAGAGTATGTGATAGAGTTCCAATAGATGGATTTTCTCAGAATGAGAACAAGAATAGTTACGTGGGCAACACTGGAGGGAGGATGCATCTGGTATAGTGAAATCAATTTTTTGCTCACCTTGTATCAAGGAAAGCTTTGCAAATTTTCTTTTATTCAGGGATATACCACCTTGGGAGTGGGTTAGAAAGCCTAAAGAGAAATAAACCATCAGTTTTGTACAGTATTTCACTTCAAATAATTTTAATAAACATTTCTTGAAAGGCCTGATTTCATACAAAGCTAGGTACTAGCATGTGATTTAATTGATACTGTGATTGGGATTAAGATTTTATATAAAATATAATCTGTACAGAATTGGTCCTTTAATTCTCAGAAATCCCTTTGCAAATGAAGTATGATTAATAAGCATCTTACTAGCTTTGGTGTTTCCTCAGCTGGGCTAATCTTTTAGTTTGCTGTTGTCAGGAATTCTATGATTTCCATGGAGAGAGGTTTTTTTCTTTTTGTTTTGAAACGGCCTTGCTGTGTTGCCCAAGATGACCTTGAGCTCCTAGGTGCAAGCAGTCTTCCTGCCTAGTATCTGGGACTATAGGCACATGCCACTGAGCCCAACAGAGAGAGTTAAAAAAAATTATTACACAGAGATCTTTGGAGGGCCAGGGATGTAGCTCAGTAGCTCAGTGCCTGCCTGACAAGTGCAAGGCCCTGAGTTTGATTCCTGGTACCAAAAAAAAAAAAAAA